GGGTGAGCCTGATTGAGTTAGAGGTCAGTGAACAGGCTGTTCTCAGGCTGATACTGTTTTATTGTTTTGGTTTTGTTTAGAAAACTGCACAGTGCAGGCGGGACTTTCCCCCCTCATGGATTTATTCCCCAGTCCTCCAACAGTAACTGGTTGATGGTGCACAATTTTTCAACATCTCTGGCAGATGCTATGCCTGTGAGCAGGACTGACTCGCTGGTCCTCCCAGGCACAAGGAGGGAAGGTGTGCAAATTCATTCTGAAGACTCTAATATCATTGGCCTGTTAAGAATAATTTTTTATTTGAGTTATTAGCTAAGGAAATAGGGGAGGAAGTAAGGCTACCCTTTCTTCCTGAGGTAATGGAAGGATCTGGAAAACACCATGCTGAGACTCAGTTAAAAATCATAGTCTACTTCTCCTCTCTTGAGAAGAACACTACCGCATTGAGTCACCTTTCTTACAACATGAAGTCAAATCTTTTGGATATCAGAAGAAGAGGGAATCTCCGGAGGATAAAATATGCCTCAACTAAGGCTACTGTAGGTGGACTTCTCCTGAGCAGACGTATGACCAGGAGTACACCCGGAACTGCTTCCTCAGTGCCATACCACTGAAGTAAATAGGCGAAAAGCGGGGCTCCGTAGGAAACCTCGGCATTACCATTGCAAGGCCTCCAGTTCACAAGGGAGCTGAATGAAATGCAGGGATAATGATCTGAAAGGCCATTGCAGCATGAAGTCATCTTCCCAATGCCATTTGATAAGGTTTACTGACTACAGTGTAAGAAAGTTTATAAAAAAAAAAAAAAAAGAAGAAAGTAAATCTTAAGGGAAAAAAAGAAGGCAGCTTTTTAAACTATTATTTTCAGAAATCTGAAATTGAACCACAAAGCACTGTTTCAGGCCAGCTAACAGACTGGAGGGATAGATTGGGAAAGCAGGAAATACTTAACCCAGTTTCGCAGTCAGAGAAAGCCTCAGCTTTCACTAACAAGAAAAGAAACATACATCAAATCTGGTGCCAGAGATGAGGAGGAAGAAATTGGAAGCAAAAATCTTAAATAATCCAAACCCAAATAATGACAAATCAAAAGGAAAAATATTTATTTTAATGTTATTTTCTTGTGATTAGCTTAAGAAAAATACCAACATATGCAACCAAGTAATTTTTGAACATAGAGCATTGGCCACAAGAAAAAAAATAAAGAGAAAGGAACAAAGGTAAATTTTTCATAAAATGGCACATTCAAGACTACTATATTCAAGACTCCCTCTACAACTACCTGAAAGGAGGCTGTAGTGAAGTGGGGGTCGGCCTCTTCTCCCTGGTAACGGACGATAGGACGAGGGGAAATGGTCTGAAGTTGCGCCAGGGCAGGTTTAGGCTAGACATTAGGAAAAATTTCTTCACTGAAAGGGTTGTCAGGCTCTGGAATGGGCTGCCCAGGGAGGTGGTCGAGTCCCCATCCCTGGAGGTATTTAAAAGAAGGCTAGATGAGGTGCTTAGGGACATGGGTTAGTGGTGGGATGGCAGTGTTAGGTTGGACTTGATGATCTTAAAGGTCTTTTCCAACCTAAATAATTCTATGATTCTATATTCAAGACTGTATCTGTTTCCTGGATCAAAATAGGCATTTGGTCTCCACACTAGCTGAATCCCTGATTTGTAAAGTGTAAAAGAAACCTTGGTGGGGGCCAAACGGATTAAAAAATCTACCTGACCATCACCCAAAAGCCCCCGCTGCTGCATCCTCATGTCCCCAGTGCAGCGATGCCACAGCTATGAGCACCACGCGCACACGTCACTTGCCAGCGACAGGCTCTGCAGTCACGTTAGCGTGGTAGTCCATGAAGTGTTCCTGTTAGGCATTACTCCTTAGAGCCCATCTATCTGTTACTATGATTTGGCCTTGCTTTCAGCATGTAAATGAAGGGATTTGGCTGCATAAAGCCCAGCTTTTTTTGTCAGGCCTGCTCCTGTTCCCCACGCCCCCTTCCTCCCTGTTTTTTGATATTTATAACTGCAACACTCATTTGCAGTTGCGTAAGTAAGTGTAAAGTAGGGTGCCTTTCTGGGTTTTCACGCGTCTGCCCACGTGAAATTACCACATTGGTAATGACCTCATTGTTTAAGTCAAAATGCAGTGAACAGAGATCGCTTTTGCAACCTTGTTACTTCAGAATTCCTTAAGACAGTATAAAAGAATGCATACCAGTAAAACGTGTTTTCCAGAAAAGGAGACTGTTTTCCTTGCATATTCCTTGCAGGGGCTTTATCTCCTCCCGCATTTAGCAAAACTTAACACAGGATAAGCATTTTGTCACTTACTGTTTTAACTTAAATTGAAATATCGCACGGCTCTCACCTTGAGAATAAAAACCAGTTTTAGTAAAATAAAAAAAAAAAGTTTATCTATCTGTTTTATTTCTCAGAGGCTTTTTTAAGATACTAAGAAGCCTAACTTTTTGCTATTGCATTTCTGCCCAGCATAGCTGCAAAGAACATACAGGCTCTGATTTCTAACTTGTTTGTACATACTTAACTGAGAAGAAAACGGAGGAGGCAGAAGTAAAAAAATGATTTTCCACAGTCACAAAAGCCAGCCATAGAAGCACAGCTGGGTGTTGGATCAGGATCTCTTGGAAGCCAGCCACAAAAGATGCACAACAGAGAAAAAAACATCTCCTGTAAGGAAGCATTTGATTTTCAAAGTTGCATGAAATGTTCACAAGAAAACCATGTAAATGTTTTTCCAGTGGGCACTGGATTGCAGGGTGGGGGGGGAGGATTTCATTAGAAACTGGAAGCCCTCTCTTGTTTCACCAAAAGATTTGCTCGTCACAAGCATTGCCAGCTAGCCTGAGGTGATTTTCATGTTTTGTATCAAAACCAAGCAAAAATTAAGTCTCTAGCAGTTTCGATGTGAATTTGCTTTGAAGTTCATTTCAATGCGACACTAGTCAAAACTCCACAGATAACGAAAGATTTTGGTTCACAGGGAGAGAAGGCAATGTTTTCCCGGGTCTCTGCAAAAGGAAAGGACTACTTTTTCTGAAGCGGTAGCGAGCACGGCGGTGCCGTAGATAGGAGCTTACGCTGCGCACAGCTGCGAGGGCTGCAGCCATTACAGCCGCTCCTCCTCTCCCACCCCATGGCTGTTAGCCACCGCCCCATTTCCAGGATTCACTGCCCCAAAGGCACCCCAGTGGGTCCATGCGTGCCCCCCGGTCTGCAACAGTGCATGCCTAGCCAGTTTAAGCCACCAGTAAAGTAGCTGGAGATAATCTGATGAAGCTGCGCTGACATTGATGAAGGGGCGCTCGCGCCATCCTTTCCAGCTGCGTGGCGGTGGGGCCGACTGCCGAGGCCTTAACTGCCCTAGCTGCATCTGGAAGTGCTGTGGCCTCACAGATGTCTCTCCCAACACACAGCCTAGCTAGAGGTGTCGTCCTTCAGCTGGTGTGGCTAAAACTCGCATCCTCGGGTTTCGGCATAGGCTAGGTCAGGTGGGAGCAGAAAGAGGTGTGATCTCTTCTGAGCGTAGATGAGCCACATGTGGGTGTGAAGCTACCAGCCACTCTTCATTTTTCCTCTGGATTGCTTATTTCACTAGGGGGAGGGTGACAATTTTACTGTATTATTACCAGGTTACTCTTTGCTTTTACAGGTGCACTGCTGCTGTGTAAGTATTTGGGGGGTTGGACTAGATGACCTCTAGGGGTCCCTTCCAACCCAAAACATTCTATGATTCTATGATTCTATTTATTACTGAAGTGTGTAGGAGCCCTTTTCACAGACCACACTCCCCTTGTGCTATGTGCTGTAGCTGGGCAGAACAGTGTGACGGTCCCAATCCCTGAGCATAAAATGTTGGGGCAGTATGGCCAGCAAAGGGAGTAAAATAAGACAATGTCAGCCGGCACATTAGCCATACACAAAGTCTTTTAAGAGGCAATGTGAAAAGGAAGAGTCTTATGAATGAATGCTGAGAGCCAAAAGAAGCTGCTCTGTAGAGCCTCGCAGGACGCTCCTTCCAAGTACGAAGAACATTTAGAAATGCAATGGGTGCTCAGAGGAGGCCTGTGTGTTATTAGAGGTGGAAGCTAACTCTTCAATACTGAGAGAGTGATGGTAGGTAGGGAGAAGACAGGCCACGATAAGCCTTGAAGTAAAAACAAGTAGCTTAAGTTTCTAGAGCAAGGCAATGGGAAAGCAGAGAGAACAGACAACACGGTTAAACTTAAGCGTTGGGAAAGTTATCTTTGCAGGAGCGCTGGGGATGGGTAGGGTACATCTGTCAGATTTATGACAGGATGAGTACAGTGATTGATCCATAAGATAACAAAGGCTGAAGTTATAACAGCAAAGTTGTGCTTGTCTGGGTAGAGAGAAAAGGATGCATTACATACACAGCGTGCAGAATGAACTTATGAAACCAGGTTATAAATGGAAGGGGACGTCAAAAAGAGTGAAGCTAAAAGAGGAGGATGTAATTCAGATTCACATCTTTCCTTTGAGGAAGACGCATAGTAGTCTTCATGTAAAAATGACAGCGTACCTTGGTCATGCAGGAGTTGCCCTGGCTGGCCACTGGACCACAAAAGAGCTGGTGCCAAAGGAGTTCTGTGGCTCTTGGGCCAAACAGCATCGTCTGGCTTCAGTGCCCACAGGGATGGGAGAAGGATAGGGGAAGGGAGTATCATGAAATACAAGAGTAGGGACAGTGGCACATGGAGGGGCCATGAAGGAAAGCAGGTCAATAACCCTGTTAGGGACGGTACAGCACAGAGTTGTCGAGGAGAGGCGCGGATGATAAGCAAAGGAAGGGGGGAGGATGGCACACGTGCTCACTTGCTCTTATGAGAAATTTGCAGAATCACATGCAAAGGACCTAGTCAAAGCTGCCGGGGCTAAAAGACTGTCAGTAGCAATATAAATGCTTTGCCTGTATAATGCAATTGTAGTCCTACACCTATAAAGTGCTCTTAATGTAAGCTTACCTTAACCTCTTCGCTTTTATCTATCCCAGCACACCTTTCCTGATACAGAAATACCCCCACACGGCACAGCGTGCTGTAGGACGAATGCTGCAATAAAGGCAAAGCTTATCAGCTCAGTACCGCCCCTTCCCATGCCAGTCTTCCTTACATAAAAACCAACGCACCCCCTGGAAAAACAGAGTGCTCCTCAAAGTTTTTTCTGCTTTCTGGGTATTAGTGGTGCCGGTCAGAAGCAGTACCATCACAGCCCTGTTCATGTCAGGCTTCCAACAGCATCACTCTGCCACAGGTTTCGCCCCGGCTTACCTCGGTTGCGCTGATGCCCTTGCCTTCCCACACCTCCTCCTCTCCCACAGCCGTGTGGCCGGGCTGTGCGCTCAGAGGGGAAACGCAGGCCCTGCCGCGTCTCATCGCCCTCACAGACATCCTTGGTTCTGGATGTGTTATCGCCAGCTCCGTCATAGGTGTTCCAGCCAAGCGGCTCGATGCCTGGAGACCCGGCTTGTAGGCCCCTGTGGGTGCTCTGTACCTCGGGAGTTCATCAGTGCTGTGATTAATCAGGACGTTATGCACGTGATAGTCAGTCACATCAATCTTAAGCTGAATTCCAGGGACTTGGTTCTCTGCTTTAAGAAACAGGGCTTCCAGTAATTTCTCCTCCTCTGCCCCACTGCTGTTCCTGTTTTCCAAAGCTCCCCGCCCCATGCTTACTTCAGCATGATCCCAGCGAGAGAAAACAGAAAAGAGGGAACAACAGCTTCAATGCCTAAATAGTTTGGATGCAAAATAAAGAGGCTGCACAAGGTTTTACTTACCTTTTGGTTAAAAAAAAAAAAAAAAAAGATAAAGAACTGGAAAAAAAAAAAAAGGTCTGAAAATGGAAAGTTTTTGCCTCTTAGAAGAGTTATCTCTTGATAAACGCGAATCCACACTGCTCTTGGATAGAGCACAGGCATACCTGAGTTATCTGCACCTTGGCTCATGTTTCCTCAGCAGCCAAAACCCCATTCCCCCAGGTTCTCCTGCTACTTCCCGCAGCAAAATGGCACCAGATGACACCCGGTTATGCCCAAACCCCAGCTTCTGCCGTGAGGATGAGGAATGGCGCAGAGTGCCAAAGGCATCGCGGTTATGCAGGACAAGAGATCTTTCTTTTGATTGCCTTGTGTTTTTGCTGGGGTGCGAAACAGAAATCTGCCCATGCCTGTTCTGCTTCCTGCTGCTAGGAGGCTGCCCGGTAACCCCGGCCTCTCTCCCCGACGGCGACGGCGCGGGCCCCCGCCCGCGGCGCGCTCC